AATGACTTTTATTTAATTACCTATCTTGTTAGTTACTGTGTGTTTCATCATCATCATCATCATCAACAGCCTTTAACAGTCCACTGCTGGACATAAGCCTCTCCTTAGAAAGGAGGTTTTGGCCACGCTGGCCAGACGGGTTAGTATAGGGTTTGTTTCAAGTTTTCTTTCTCTCTGCAGTGCTGTTGTTCTGCGTAGTTTTTTCCTTAGTCGGCTCCTACGACACCCACGGGATGAATAGGGGTGGTGACACTGTATTCTTAATCCGTCACTACACGGATATATGTATGTATGTATGTATGTTTCACTATGCTGAAATTGGGTAAGTATAAAACTGAACTACTTAAGCAACTAATTATTAATATAACATTCAGTTTTTATATCCATAAGTATTATGGTGTTACACTTGTCACGGGGGCGGATGTAGGCGGCAGCTGTTCTACGGATCCGTTCCAAAAACACGGGCCCTGGACCAGACGGGATACCTGCCCCCCCCCCCCCCTTAGGGAGGTGTTCGACGCTGGCTGGTCTTGTTGACGAAGACGGGACAGCCTGCCAATTCAGTTGCGGCCTACAAGCCCATCGTGTTACTAGCCGAGGCGAGTACATTATTTGAGAGGGTTCTTTCTGCCCACATCGTCCGGCATCTCTGCGAGTTAGGTCCCGATCTGTCAGACGTCTAATTCTGGTTTTCGAGCGTTCCCTTGCGAGCGGGGTGTTCGACAAGCGGCGCTGTGTTGCGCCTCAGGATCGTGACCGAAGAGCCGTGGCGGCGTGCTGTTGGCATTGCCGTTGGATATCGCCAACGCATTCAATAGCCTGCCATTCAGCTACGTCAGGGAGGCATTTCACTATCATGGGGCCAGTAGTAGACTATTTAGGGGATCATACCGTCATGTACGAGGATTAAGATGGATATTTAAGGCGCGTGCCCATTTGGACATATGGCAAATATGAGATAGTGCCCGCCGAAGTATAACGGCAGGCGGCTGATTTCTGGGCGGATAGCGGCAGTCGGCCCCAGCAATGCCAGCCAGCGGCCATGCAAGTGGCGTAAGGCCGCTTGCTGAGCCACGATGGCTCTTTGATTGTCCTGGCTGGTTGGCTAGCTTGGACGTCGCAGCGTCGGGTCCTCATTGTATGTATTGTCCTCGCCCTGGCCATGAAACGCCCCATAGCCGGTAGCGACAGACGTTTCATCGACGGTAGAGAGGACCCGGTAGGAAGATTTCCACTCGGATCCAATTTGCCGCCGGCGAAACGGGCGGTTAACATACTAACTTAAATTGTAGTACTAAACCGATATTGGTATTTTTAAAAAGTCTATATCCACAAAGCTATATTTCACTAAACGTTTAGTAGTTTTCCAAATACAGATGTTGGAGTATTCATCAACAGCCTATACTAGTCCACTGCTGGACATAGACTAAAATATACTGTATAGTACTACTAAGTAAAATATTTTATTTTTTTCCAAATTTTCGAGACTTTTCTCCGTATATGTAATAATGTTTTTTTTATTTAACTAGAAGCATGAAATTTTTGTTAGGCATTTAGCGCATGACTGGAAGGATGGATCAAGACAAACTGGCAGTTTGCAAGACACCCATTACTTATAACGGCGTAGTCATTCCTGTCAGTCCCTCTGTTAAGAACCTTGGCCTATTAATCGCGCGTCACCTACCGACTGACGCAGATGCTCACTGGGCATGGCTGCTTCGGTGAGTACCTGAATCGGATTGGACGCGAGAAGACGGCACAATACCAGCACTGCGCAGCCAACTGGGACTCCGCCCAGCACACGCTGGAAGTGGTGGCCCGCGTGGGCATCTGAACGCGAAGTCCTGGTCGATGAAATCAGACGAGGCTTGTCCCCGCCAGCAATCATTACTGCCATGCTAGCGAGTGAGGAGGGCTGGGGCGCAGTGGTCTCTTTCTATGAAGCTGTAATGCTCCAGAAAGAGACCGCTGAACGGAATCGGGAGAGGGCCGATCCCGAGCGAATAAGACGTCGGCGGCGTTATGAGCAGCCGACGGGACCGCGGGCCACCAGAGAGTGAGGACCTATGGTGGCAGATTAAAAGAGCCAAAGAGCAAAAAAACCAAAGAGCAGCTTTAATAAGCGCGAAAAATACAGATAAAAATAGCATAAATTTGCAAAGAAATAAAAGAAAACATAAGGAAGGACAGGAGACAACGGCGGATGGACAAAATAGAGAGACATATTAGACCAGGGGTTTCCAAACTTGTTTTGTCTAGTACTGTACAGCAATAACATCTGGAATTTTATTTTTTAAGTACGCTATGAAGCCTTTATGGCACCCTGTCATAGTCGGAAAGCCATCCGTAGTAAGTGATATGATATTTTTCAAGGAAATCTCTTTCTCGTCACAAAACTTTTCCAATGTATTGAATATGGTTTCGCCTTTTGTATCTTCTTCTTTCTTCTGTTCTTTGTATCTTTTGTGTCTCTAAATTTCTAGCAAACAATTGTTCTTCACATTTTTTTATCTTTAATGAACCTCACGTAAGACAGCAACAATGCTTTATTAGTTGGTTGGTGGACTCATCAAGCTGAATTGAGAATTGACTAGTCCTCAGATGATTGCACAATGATCCTTCAATGTTTTCAATTCGTCTTTGAACAGAATTATTACTCAAAGGCATTTTTCGGATAATTTCTGCGGCCGGTTTTTGAAGCACAGTAGTTATTACTTCCTTTATTGCTGGCAAAATTGCCTCTTCTTCGATGTTGTGTGGTTTGCCTTTTTGAGCAATTAACAAAGAGAAATTGTACGAAGCTCGAAGTCCGTCATCATCTTACCTAGCAGCCGCCGAAAATAGTTTTGCTACACTTGACTGAGTATTTTGCTTCTTCTCTAGCTCTTGAAAATATGCTTCATTCTTGTCTTTCTTATCTGGATAGATTTTATTCAAATGATCTTGCAGTCTTGAACCCTCCATTGCTTCATTCAAAAATGTTTTTAGACATAGAAGGCACAAAGGCGACGATGGGTTTGTGGGATTTTCAATGAATCCGAATTTAATATATTTCGCACAGTATTTCAGTCACTTCTTTATTTCTTCCGACATTGTTTTGTTTTGAGAAATGCGTAAGTAAGTGTTGAGCTTAAGAACTTATCTATTACGCGCGAAACCGCAAATGAAAAGAAAATAAAATAAATATTACGTCGTTTATATACTCGTAGGATTGCACAAGCAGCACGCACCGGCAGGAATATGATAAACGTGCATAAACTCGTTGATCTCATTCGACGCTCAATCGTACTCAACAAGTAAGGGCAAGTATTCTATGAACCAGCCGATTGATACAGGAATGCACAGATCGAGTTATTTAACAAAAACAAAATGTTTGAAAAATGATTTGAAAAAAAAAGCTCTTTCTTGGAGAATATGCGTAACAGTGGGAGAGCGATGTTTTGGCAGTGAGGTGAGGTGAGTCTTAAGAATGCCATATGTGGGTCGGCTCAACCGGACTGATTACACAGCCTACCAACCCCCCCTCACCCCTCCTAATCTCCGGTAGGGGTAGGGACTCAAGGACGGCATAATGGTGTAGCACAATAAAATATATGAATGTACAAATTATTTTTATTTATTAATTCTTCCTGCAGTGCTTTATGTTGCTGACAATTTAAGAACGAGATCTTGTAGTTAAACATTATTATTTACATATGTGCTAAGTTTTGCTTCTTGCAGTTTAGTAATGGCACTATTTACTAATGAAAAGCGGGTTCAGTTGCGTTGTGTTATTATTAATAGGCTTGTAAAATTTGTATATCTCAGCATTGTTTTCAGCACAAATTTTAAGTACATTTAAAATTACCATAGCCAAGTAAATATTTGTCATACTAGTGTTACAATTTCATAAACTTCTTATGAATTGATAAAATAAGAGACAAACCTCGGCAAAAAACTAATTTACAAAGCTATTTTTTGGCAAACACGTAAGACACGCATAACTTTCGCTTTAGACATTATAATTTTGAAGACTACACGGACACTGCGGCCTTAAAAGAAAAGGAGATTTTATTTTCCATACATATATCGGATTTCCAAGACTTATGAAGTACTTTAAAACATGCTGTCTACTCCGGTTGTCACAATATGTTTTTATATATTGGGTACATAGTGAAAGTTTAATGCTAAAAATCTGATACCTAAAACTACAGAGTTGGACCGACTAAGTAATATGTCTCATCATTGTGAGTTAGTCTATTTTCAAAATATGAACGTGCTCCTCAAAATATGCACGTGCTTCTATAGGTATAATTATTACACAGAAATGTTACTACGTAAGTACCTCATAGTAAAAATACGCAATTGATATTGAAAAATAAACAAATATTTTTCAATCAATTAAAGCTTTTCTATCAACATAAATTCTTCTTAAATACATTAGCTACGAAATTAAAATGCCATCAATTGAAAATACATAATGCTTATATAAGTATTTTGAATTTTGAATCAAATTAAAATGACATGCACTTTTCAACAGAATGTAACATTATAACAAATCAAATTAAAAAATAAGTGTGATTATATGTCTATACCCTATATGCTAAGAAACTTACGTTGGCAGCAAATTAACTACCGCCGCAATACACTACGTAAATAAGATAATGTGTCGTTTTATATTACATTGCTCATCAGCAGAGTCAGAGATCAGCTAGTGAACATGCGACGATAACCTAACTACAGCGAGATTTATACGTTGAGCAACCTATACTCCAAAATCTCACCCAAAATATAATTATTATAGTTAACATAAGTAGGTATAGAAAGAAAATAGTAACCTATTAAAACTAAAATTAGATAGGCATATTTTAGTTACGACTTTTCCATCACTACAAATTTATGGTGACTGGAACAACATGTTTAAATAAAGCAAAATTATAAATTATAAGTCGGAACTTATAATTGCGTCACATGTTGAGTACATTTGGATCAAATTTGGTTTTAGGCTATTTTACAATTGTTTAACTATATGTTAATGATTGAGGTACGCCATTGACAGTCTTTGATTTCAGGACCCCGTTCTCATACGACATTACTGTTTCCCGACCATTCTCCGTCACCCTGTAACAAGACCAAGAAAGAATTAAGTGTACCTATAGTGGAATTCAGCGGTTCAACATTACAGTGATAAAGCTCACGGTCTTAAGAGACGAGAGTTTTATCAATACTTACCACAACACAGGCACTACTTACAATTTTATTATCATTTAGTAACTAAGGTACAAATAGTATTATACACATAGTTAGTTACATCATTAGTATGCGGTTCCCACAGGACGGTTATGTCACCATTCTTTACGTGTCTTGAAAACATAACCATGTGTGATGTAAGTATTATTAACTATATTATGCAATACTTATATCTTACGAAACTAATAATACGTTGGTGACATAGTGCTGTGTTTTAAGTTAAAAAATTATGATTAAGTAACGATATGATTTCTTCATTACTGACGTGTACTAGGTAAGTGACCATTAAAACAAACTAAAACTGATATTACCTATACACAAATTATGTTCATTCAAATAAGTAATAATGACAATAAAAAATACATTTTTTCCAAAATTTACCAGCCGTAACTGGACCTTTGTGAATGTAGGCTTTTGATGAAATGTATAATAATACCAAGCCAACAGAGGCCAATTGGTTCCAGGTTAAGTGCATAGAGAATAAATATAAGTAATTTATAAACAATTGACTGCACGGATGGCGTATTGGTTTAAAGCGGTGATCTTGCCGCTTCCTATTGCACTGGGTGTTGTAGGTTCGATTCCCACATGGGACAACACTTTGTGTGATCCACAAATTGCTGTTCTCAGTTTGGGTGTCCTTTGTGTCCGTTTAATGTATGTTTAAAAAGTCCCCCGCGACACAGGATTTATCCCTAGTGTGGGAGGTCTTTTTAAAACAAAAAAAATTGCAGAGTGGTCAGATATTGATTTGCTTGACTTCTTTCTTTTTATGTATTTGGAAAAGTCAAGTCTATAGAAAATAATATTTATACGAAACTTTCATAAATATAAAATACTAGCTGATCCGGCAAACGTTGTATTGCAACAAAAAAAATATTAGGGATGGGTCACCCTTACCATTCAAAATTGTGAATCTAAACCATTCCCAGATCCCCTTGAACACACATAAAAAATTTCATCAAAATCGGTCCAGTCGTTTGAGAGAAGTTCAGTGACATACACACTCACAGAAGAATTATATATATAAAGAAGATATATACAATCTTATGCTAATATTTTTGATCTCTAGTTCTATAAACAAATCATGTACGAGGGGTGATCAATAAGTGATGATAATCAATATGAAACAGAACTATTAGATTAAAAAAAGTATTTTATTTTTCAACATAGTCTCCTTGCAAGTTAATACATTTAGTGTATCTTTTTTCTAAGCCCATGATTCCCTTAGAAAAAAATTCTTTGTCTTGACCCTCCCAAAATGCCTCTACTGCGGCCATCACTTCACTATTGTCCTCAAATTTGTTGCCCCGGAGGTGTTCTTTGAGCCGAGGAAAGAGGTAGAAGTCACTGGGAGCTAGATCTGGCGAATAGGGAGGGTGTTCGAGCAGTTCGAACCCCGTTTCTTCAATGGCAGCCATCGCAACTGCGGCTTTGTGAGCCGGGGCGTTGTCTTGGTGAAACAGCACTCCAGCGCGCAGTTTACCGCGTCTTTTTGACTTAATAGCTTCTCGCAATCTTCTTATTTGGCCTGCGTAGTAAGAGCCTGTTATAGTGGCCCCCTTTTCCAAATATTCCACCATAATAATTCCTTCTGCATTCCAGAAAACAGACGCCATAACCTTTCCCGCTGAACTTGACACTTTGAATTTCTTCGGCGTTGGTGAGGAAGCTCGTTTTAAAGTCATTGATTGTTGTTTGGTTTCGGGATCAAAGTGGTGGATCCAGGTCTCGTCCATGGTCACAAAACGCGACAAAAAAAATTCTTTATCGGCCTAGAACTTTTGAAGATTCACCCTCGAAATGTCGACTCGTTTCTTTTTTTGCTCGTCGGTTAACATTCTCGGTACCTAACGCGCAGAGACCTTTTTCATATGCATTTTGTTGACAATGATTTTTTGAACGCTGCCATAGGAGATCCCTGTGACCTCAGCTACATGCCTTACGGTCACCCTTCGATCGGCCAACACGATATCTTCCACTTTTTTGACGTTTCCTCCAGTAAGGGACGTGGAAGGGCGTCCCTCGCGATGTTCATCTTCAGTGGAGGTTCTGCCCAGCTTAAATTCCTTTGCCCAGCGTGCGACTGTGGAATATGGAGGAGCAGACTCCCCCAATGTTTCCTCTAAGTCGCTGTGTATGTCTTTGGTAGACATTTTTTTCAGGCAGAGGTACTTGATGACAGCTCTTATTTCATTTTTCTCCATTTTGATGTTTTCTCTTCGACAGTTCGTATTCAAATGAATGTATCTCCCGGTAATGGTGTCCTATTTATACATTTTTTTGAAGCTGAAGTAGTGGATATATAAGCAAGCAGAAAAAAAATAATTTGGGTTTTTGTGCGTTCTAGAAATACTCGATTATCATTACTTATTGATCACCCCTCCTATTCCGAATACCTACTGCGAGTTTATTCCACATCCACTCGATCGTCACGGTGACCGTGTTCGGGGTTGCGATAGACCCGCACTGAAATCTTCACTAATCGCAACGCCGAACGTGGTCACCGTATAAAAAAATAAACTCGAATACAAAACTTACTTTTTAGTTGTGATTTTCTTTCCATTGACAACGCGCGTAGTGGTCGTAGTACTCCTCATGTTAGCGCTTCCAGGGCCGGCTAGCGAACTGTTAAAAGTCGAGAATGAAGTGAATGTGTTTCCGTTGGAATTGGCATGTGCAAAAATATCATCTAGTCCTGGCATGCCGAAACCGAACAGGGATGATGTGAGGGATGTACTGGGATGACTTCGACGACCGTGCCTGTGATGATGCCCATGGCCGTTGATTTCTGGGAAACAAAAAAAATACGTATGTGTATAGCGAAAGGGCACAATGTAATTACTTAAAAGCTCACAAATATATAGGCAAAGAAGCACACATACATAATATATCGAGGTTTAAGGTCAGATAAATATAATTAAAAAAATATATAATTACAGAGGAATTAAGTGACATGTACTTAGCCGTAAATGAAATGGTTCAAAAATAAATAACTAATAACTAGAGTAATATCAGTAACTAATTTGAACGTAAGTAATAAAAGGGAAATAGATACTTGTAAGTGAGATAAAGTTTAAGTATAGTAGAAATCAAATCGATAGATTGCTCCCAATTCTCAACATAATTTAAGAGACAGGCAAAGGTCGTTGGTGATAAGAGCCTAACTTGGTCAATAACAGGCGATATAACCAAGCTATATAGCTTACTATAAAATAAATTTACCAGCAAATAAATCGCCAAAAGGAGACCCGCCGAAGAATTCTCTAAACACCTCCTCGGGATCTCGGAATGTGAACGGGAAACTAGCGTAGCCAAAGTCGTAATCATCGTCGGCGGTAGAACGTCTGCCTCTGCCGTTGTTCAGTCCTTCTTTGCCGTACTGGTCGTAAACACGCCGTTTCCTCTCTGAAATAATTAATTCAGAAATCTTAAGTATGAGCACAGTACTCGGATATTGAATAACAATATTTTGAGAACACTATAGTATAATATAATGTATGTATTCAAACAAGGCAGTAAATACAACAACATATGATGTCACCCCAGCACGCATCTTTGGGTGAAGCGACCGTAAATGACGTCTGACGTGGGTTTCCTAGGTTTTATATATGATCATAATTTAATACAGAATACCTAGAAAAGGAGCGATTTGATTGCGGCTTTTCTGAAGTATAAATGTTACTTTTCGTGTATATTTTCTAATGTAATGCTCAACACTATATTCAATTTCAGATTTGCACATCTGACAAATTGTTGGGTATTATTAAATGGTTTACTTAACTTTTAGTATAGTCAAAACTGATAATTATTGGCGGGACGATACCTAACGTTGTGATTTTATATGAAACAAACTAATTTATAGGACTAGAAACTCTACCTTAGTGATCTCTATCTATCATTAAAAAAAAAAATAGCTTGGAGATGTTTAGTCGGGTCATCCAATGATTTATCGAGAATATAGGTACATTCAAATACTAGTTTTAACCGTTTTATTATAAATTTAACTATTGATAATAACAAAATGGTTTTAGTTTTGCTGTAACCCAAGAACGCTGACGTTTTTAATTTATCTTTATTTAGTTACTTACCTTTTAACCTATTTATAACTTAACTAACATTTATTCACATTTATTCTAACCTTGCTACATCACGTAATTTCTATCTACTCAATTAATATGTAGGTATGTCCACAAACTATTAACTTCATTTATTAAATATTAATCAGTAATACTAATGTGTTTTTTAACATTTAATTTCTAACTACCACAAGGCCATATCCGTACTATCAAATTAAATAAACATTTCGATATCCTGTAACTTTTAACGCTTAATATTCCAGTCCATCAGTTAGTACAACAGCACCAGATTTAAGAAGAAGTTACGTACGTGAAGGTCACTCTTAAATTCTACTGTACTAAATTATTAAGAGCAAGGCATTCAAGGTATCTGCCTACCGAAATAATTGAGCTTCTCATAGCAAAAATAATACGTACCATATTTGGCAATAAAGTCAAGGTTGAATTTAGTAAAAAAAAAATCTCTTCATAGGTATAAAGGGATTATCTCTAATTTCACGCTAAGTTTTAGTCGATATATAATTATTCCTACATACGAAATATGAAAATACATTTAAATCTGAAAGCGCTTGATGAATATATAGATACGTAGGTACATACGAGCCCTGATGCAAAATAGTTCGTCTAGTGTGAAATTTTCTGTGAGATTTTTTCTAACTTCATTATTTTTGTATATCTACATAAAATATTAAGCTGTTCTACTATTATATGTCGCGTTACTTATGCCATTTTTTAATTATGAACCAATAAACTATTTTAGCCTTTTAAATTTATACATACCCTGTTTTAAATTCGAAGAAGTTACAAGCAAAATAGTTCGTCTAATTGTTAATTGATGCAAAAGAGTTCTAGTTTATTCGTCTATCGGTGGTCAATAAGATTATTCCTTCTTTGTACAATTATGTTGCATAATTTAAATTTGTAAAAGTAATTCTGTGTCATTTGTCAAGTGAGACAGTATAAATTCTGAAAATTTCAGTCTTTTTCATTAGTTTTCAAATAACAATGGGTCGTGGCCATGGACGTATAAAAAAAGTCGGACGGAACTCTCGCTAAGACAAAAGTGAAACGCCATAATTGCGGCAACTCTTTGTGTGCGAAATTCATTTTGGGGTTGCAAAGTTACCCAAAATTTTTCCATAAAAACACGGTCAACATATAAAAAAAAAAAATTGTTCGAAATCGTAATGTTTAACATCCCAAATGCTGACTATTTTTTTCATAATAATGTCTTTTACTTTGAGAGGTTCTTGAAATTTCCTCTAATTTCGAGATGTGGTGAAACCTAATCGTTAAATATTTTTCCGCTATATATTTAATAAGACTTATTTTGTGTTCTATTCCGGCGAAATTATGTTCGGATTCTAAGTTAAAAAAAACGCTTTCATTACCAACATTTTTTTTCTAGAATTTTTGTGATAATATATTTATGTTGCCTTTCGTTGTATAAAGTGACGCTTTATTTTATAATTTTTCTTATAACCATTTCGCAAATACAACAAATATCGAACATTTCTTTTAATGGTAAATGTAAGATTACAATAACAGTTATAATTAATTACATTACAATTTCTAATTATTTGAATCCAATCATTACTCCGTACTTCATTTTCCTTAGAAAATCTAGCAATAGGAATATAAAATAAAATACCCAGTAGTAACTATTAAATAATTAACCTTAATATATTGATTTTAATAATAAACTAAAAATTGCCCATATTTCGGGTAATTTGCACACGTGAATATTGGCAAAACTGGACATAAAATGAATTGTTTTGTTCTAGCGAAAGCAAATTGAGTTTAATGTATAAAATCTGGAAATAAGTGATTGAATTATTCTTTTACCTATGAAACGTGATTCCAAGATTATTTTTCTTTCGATCACTACGGTTTTTACACCATTTTACCACGCAAGACATGATGTATATTTATATTTTTTCGCCGCGTAATGTGTCTTGATGACGTGATGTTCGCGCGCGTAATGGCCGACTAATGTGTGAAAGTGTGCGTACTGGCCTGTACATACAGCTGAGCTGGCCGACTATGAATCCACAGTTGTTTGTTAGCGAGACTGTCCGACTTTTTCATACGTCCATGGTCGTGGCAAACCCGTGTGTGAAGAGCTTCGAAAGCGAATAGTTTGTGGGGTCGATGCTGGCAAATCAAGTTACAAAATATCTAAAGACTTGATACTTCCCAGGTCTACAGTCCAATCTATCATTCAGCACTATAAAAAGAATAGAATGACTTCTTGTTTGAAGAAAACTGGTCGACCACGCATCACAAGTGCAGTAGAAAACAGAATCTTAAAGAAAATAGTCAAAAATAATCGTCGTGCTCGAGCTGGAGAACTCACGGTGCAATGGAAGGACATGATTCACAAAGACGTCTCAGTTGATACTTGCAAAAGAGTCCTAAAAATAATGGTTACGGATTTTACACCAGTAAGGAGAAACCACTGTTGACTGCTGTACAAAAGAAAAAGAGTGAGAGTGATCATTTAAATTGGAATTCCGACCAGGATATCATTTGGAGGGACGAGTCCAAATTTGAAGTGACAGTCGGCGATGAAAGGAAAAACGTGATTCGGAACAAAAATGAGGCATTTCATTGGCATGACAACGAAGACGTGGCTACTTGCAAAAAGCATCCTACAATCGAATAGCCAACTAACAGCCCGGACTTGTCGCCGATCGAAACCCTATGGTGGAAAATGATAAAAGTTCTCCGTAGAAATCCATCAAGATCGAAGAGCGACTTAAAGGCTAAACTCTTGGCTTGGGAGTCAATTACGCCTGAGGAATGTGCAGCGTTGGTTGCAACCATGCCTCTTCGCATTAACGCTATCATTGACAAAGGCGACACAACTAAGTGGTAGACGAATTATTTTGCGTGAGTGACAAATGTAGACGAATACTTTTGCGTTATGTTTTTTAGTTTATTTAAAAAAAAAATTGTTATGTAGTCATGAAAGAGTTTTTGTAAATGATGAAATGAATTTTGTGTTAAAATAAACTTTAAAATGTTCCTCAAATTGTAGTTTACTTTTTATTAAACGTTCTTAATTATTTTACCAATATTTACTTTCTATATTTTACGCTTTGCACTACTTTCCATACTAGACGAACTATTTTGCATCGGGGCTCGTACGAGTACCTATATTCATAAAGCGCTATAGTTATATTTGATGATTAGTATTAATCTAAAAAATCTAGTACAATATAACTAAATAGGCATATGAAATTTTATATTTCAATGAACTCATAACTCAACTCAACAAAGCAAGCAAGGAAGTAATTAGTTACATGTTTAGTTTGTTCCAAGAATTCTAGATTATACGATGTACAGAGCAATAATCAGACATATCAGTTGCTTATCTCATTTATCTTTTGTTGTCCTGAATCATAATGTATGCCTTTGCTATTTAAGCCATATATATACTTGTGGTGTTACAGAAAAAAATATAATATTAAAAAGAGTGTCCTAATTACAAAACTGTCAACGAGTGATACTAAGCCCTATGAGCATCTACATCCGACCTTATTGTATATATATTATACCCATAGAAATTTCCAGAAATTAAAATCGAAGAATTAAAATACGTTTAAAGACTTCCTCGTTTTCCTAGTACCGTTACAATGACTCGCCAAATGTGTGTATAGACATTTTATTCATCATCGCAGAGATGATTCATTTAGCGTGTAGGACGATGTTTGTAGTTTGTATATTAATGTGCCATATATCTCACATATTTTTTACTGCTGAATGAAGATTTTTTTTCTTATTTAGAGTGAATTTTTGATTCAGGTATTTATAATGATCTTGAAGTTAAAATGACTGAAAGATTTGAATATGATTTATATATTATTACTTTATAATACTGACAACACATCCAATTAGCCAACAATGGTATGATCGATTCTAGATAAAGACAATTGCCCCTTTTAAATTAGTTTCGTTCTTGTTTATTAATTCCTAATGTTTATGTAATTATTTACTTAAGTACAATGAAACTTCACACTACTTAAGTACAGTGAAACTTCACGTGTTGATGTGATTGCTTATTACTCATTTAGCTGTAATTATCGCCGATTAGTACGTATTCTAGTTAATTAGGACAGTACATCAATGAAACTATAGTACAATACACGAACCAGTTGTAGTACGGTATATTTCTCAGACACAATGCAGAGACTACCGCTAGAAACGAAACAGCTGCTGGGGCCAAATATTGGCAGGTAAACTATTCGCAAGGTAAATTTTGCTGACAAAACAATTACTTAATAATCATTATTAGGATTATATAGGATCGAGATTTTCAATGATGTAACGAAACGAAGTTTAGCGATCGATGAAACACACTCGATAGAGAAAATATTTCCATTTTAGTTTAAATGAATTACTATGATATTGCCATAATGTTAAACTGAGCCTAACTCGTTTTTTCTTTTTCCAAAACAATCGATAGGGTTTAAGCTAGACTTGCAACGAATATTCGGTTACTATTCGGTATTCGGCCTATTCGGCTGCTTTTATTATATTCGGCCGAATACCGAATATCTACATATTATTCGGCCGAATACCGAATAATACCGAATACGTAAAATGAAAAATTAAAATCGATTGACTACGTATATATTCATATTTTCATTTCCGTTATAATCATTTAAGTAGTCATTGGTGCATAACACAGGTACATAATCATCTTCTGAATTGGAAAAATAGAGGATTTTATGTATTTGAATTATTGTGGTAATCAAAATTTAGAAGGGTAAGGTTCTTATTTCTTTTATAATCATTTATTAAGTAGTCATTGGTACATAAAACAGGTACATAATTTAATTCACGTCTGTACAAGTTTTTGGCGCTAAAATCCAGCCGAATACTTTTGCCTAATATTCGGCTATTCGGTCAGGGGCCTCGCCGAATATTCGGTATTCGGTATACTGCCGAATATACTATTCGTTGCAAGTCTAGTTTAAGCTGATTATAAGCTATCAAAGTAATCATTGGAAATCATTGGTAGAGGCCTATGTCTAGCAGTAGACAAGCATAGGCTGAGATATATAAAGTAATCAATTAATTTGGTCCCAGTTACTTTCAATGTAATAAGTTCGCAATCACTAATGTTTCAATCTAACAATTTCAATCTTCTATAGGGTAAATTCAATAGTTATGCAAGGGATAAGCAAGAAAGTCTAAGCTGTTAAATAAAAAAAATAACACAAATATTATGTGCAGTCATTATTAGGATTTGCTCACACAAAACTCGTTTGTTAGTAATATTATGTAGACCCAAACAAATTTTTGTATAAACCAGTTATCTCAAAACAGTTCTGAATATTATCATATCTAAGTCTGGTTAAAAATAACAAAAACAATTTATTTAATCAAGTGTATAACTTTGCACATCAGAATGACAATATTCATAACTATGAAGCCATCCCTGCATTAAAAGGTCATCTACCGAAAAAGCGGTGGAATGGCGTGTCACCAAAAAACCCTTTGAAGTTATAGTGCCGGTGCCCATTGACTCCATTCTTGCTTGTATATCTGTGCGCATGGTGACTGGATCCCCGTGCATCATATACTTTCCGCTTGTTTGCTACCCAACAATAAAATTAACAAACTACTGTATTAAGCAACCTCTATTTTTTAAACAAAACTTTTGGATTGTTTTTACATACATTTGTATAAAATAATATCTATAAAATTGTATAAAATTGTGTGTATTGTATAATATGCATAAAAGCTAATAATGAAAAATTATTAATAAATTTACTGAAGGGCTGTCATTATATAATACTAAGGCACAAGTCAATATAACTTATGGAATCAGTTTGTACAGTAGAGAAATGATAAACATTATAAAAGATAAAATAAAGTTAATTATTGAGTAGCTGCAGTATCTTTCAAATTATTTTTTGTTTATTGATCAACAGGGAATGTTAAGACTAAATAACACAAATACAAAATTTATTAGGTTACATAACCAGAATGACCAGGTATTAAAATTTATATGTATGTATATAATTCTACTCATATTTAATTATTATAGTTAACCTGATACCATCAGGTAAGCAAATTAAATATATATAGACAACATATAATACTCCAGCTAAACAAACATTTTAGGTGTACATTTAAAAACATTTAAAAGATCATTATTTTTAGACTCTCACCATCTGAAAGTACTTCATAAGCTTCAGATATTTCCTTGAATCGTCTATTTGCTTCATCTGCATTGTCTGGATTCTTGTCCGGATGCCACTTCAATGCTAATTTTCTGTATCTGCAATTGCAATAAATAACGTTCAATTTACAATATTGCTTTACAATTTAGTCCACAAATACATTGGTAAAGTAGATTGTATGACTGTAATAAAAAAAAACTCATTATTACTATGAAATACAGATATACATACAAAAAGAAATACTTACGACTTCTTTATTTCTGACTCGGTGGCAGTCCGAGACACGCCTAGTACTCTGTAATAGTCCACCATAGCTGGTCTCCCTCAAGGGATGTGAGATCTGAAACCAATAACATCACACTTATGAGATGAGTTAATACTTAATTTGAGCACCACACTGGATAAAACATTTATAAAACACAATCTATGTGTCATAAACTTGTTAAATATTATTTTGACAAATACTAATTAAGTCTAGTCTTTTTTATGTCTATTACTTTTGAAAGCAATGACAACAAGTAATGCAACATAATAAATAAAATATTAAGATTACTTTAATGATACCAAGGCAACTTGAATTGCCATGATATATAAATGATTTGTCTTTACACCATTGATTTAATATTGAGCCTCTGTCTTGTACTAAAGGATCACAATGCTTCCTGCAGAAGTTTAAAATTGTAGGACAGAACAAATAAGCCATAGCTATGTGTACAACGCATACAACCTGAAAGTATAGCAGTTTCGTTCTATCTAAAACTATTTTATACTAATTTGTAAGAAATGGTACTCTATAATACTAATGTGTGCCAAAATGCCACTTACAAGTTTAGTATTCTACATAAGCGAAATCAACTTGAAAATAATTAATACGAAAGTTGTGTTGTTGCACACAGACTCAAAATATTGCATAATTTACACATAAAAATTATTTGTATTGCAATGTGTCTTAGACGATATAGTTTTTGAATTTTTGGCTGACATATTGACATTGCTACATATTTTGTTTTATATAAATAACCGTTTGGTATTTCTATCTTACCACACCTGAACAATAATTTATCAAGAACCCAGAAAAACAGTGCACGGGCAAAATGTTTTATGGTGAAATTTTAAAATGGATGCTACTTTTTTTTTGTAAATATCAAACAACCTCAAAACACAAAATACGTTCCATTTCATAACTGTCAAATTCAATTCTGTGTATATGTCAGACAATCTCAGCCACAGAGCATTATTACCCCAACGATATCAGTCGTATTAGGGTGGCGCAAAACATGATGGCAATACCTACCACATTCTATGCTAGACACACTGGGCCCTTATTACAGTATTATTTTTGTCTCTGTCTTCTGCTTTTGATTTTGATCCATCTGTTTTTAATAAAATAATAACTATAACCTAAATTATCCCTCAAGTAAAAACAATTATTTCAAGTAGATTGCTGCTTAAAAATTTTTAAAAAGTTAAAAATGTGCAAGGGTTGTCACAAAACAGATCACGATCGTATGGAGCTAGGTAAAAATAATATTTGCCTAATGTAACTATGTTAAACCTATATGACAGTATCTCGGGTTCCTATTCCGTTTAAAATATTGGATAAAAGTTTGAACAAATTCTACGAAACAGGTTAGTTATACATTGGAAAACATTTTATTTCGTTTCTTTCGCTTCCTGATTTTAGTTGGTGAAAATAGTTGCAAAAGATTTTGGTAAAATTGAACAAATTATACGAAACAGGTTAAAGTTATACATTGGAAAACATTTTATTTCGTTTCTTTCGGTTCGTGATTTTAGTTGGTGAAAATAGTGGCAAAAGATTTTGGTAAAATTGAATTCTTACAACCAATGTGACTGCTGCAGCTTTCTATCACGACATTAATGTAATTGACATATAATTAAAACAATAACTATTTTTGTAATTAAATGTGTATTAAACAACCAAGTACATCGAAAATTTTATTATACGCTGTTTCTCTTATATTTTTAAGTGGCAAAGTTAAGAGAAAATAGTACTACTGTGAGTTAGTCAAATAATAAAAATATTGCGAGTAATCTTGTGTCGCACCAAACGTGACACACCTGCACCTGTACTAGCGTACTGGTTAGCAAGCGAAGCGGGCCGGTACTGCCGCAGACATCAGGAGCAGGAGGAGGACGTCGATCTCCTTCATACCGAGCTGCAGCGTTGCTCCTCTAGCTGAGTTGACTCACTATTAGGACTCACTATTAGTTATTATATAGTAATTATATTACACATATGGTAGGGTCCTGATTATCATAGGTTCATCATAGGGTCATCATAGGGTCGAAATTAGTTCTGATGAGGTATGGTGTTAATAAAAAGTTAATATGTACTCTATACATGCATGCTTAAGAAGAAACATTTAATTATGACAATGGGCGCAAAAAATCTGGGTGTTTGTAGATTTGGGGTTTTAAATACTTTACATATGTATAAGATCGATGGATTATAAAAAATCGGAAAAAAAAACTAACAGGTAACTTTAATGCGTTGTCGTGAATTAGTATTAATAAGTAAAATGCCTAATGCAACCGAGTATTCTAAGTTCATCTGATGTAGTTTAGAAGTATACAATGGATGATGAGTATGGTGTTTTCTTTGCAGGTATTTTCTTTACTTCGCTGTAAGTCGCAGCAACCGAAAGAGAAAAAAGAGTGAGATGACATATGGGGATAAACATGTGGGTAATAATCTAAATAACTAATTCCTGATTGTTTTCTGTTAAAGGCGCGATTATTAAACACAACAATTATCTTTGTACGCCATAGTACCTACTTATAGCAAATTGAAAGTAAAGTGTACATGTGTTACTGCGCTGTTACATTAAGAGTTAGCGATCTACGATTAAGATACTACTATATGGTAGTTCCCGTTGACATAGAATCACGAAATTTGGCAACAAGAAACTTACAGCACAAATAAAGGTATAATAAAAAAAGTTGTAAATTAAGATAAATTTTAGTACTTACAAATTTTCGCGAAAATCTACGTAAAATCTGGGTAGGTACGGAACCCTCGGCGCACGAGTTCGACTCGTACCTGACCGGTTTATTTTTACTTCATCGACGAGCCTCAGCCGCTCCGGCTCGTTCGATGCCTACGATTTGTTACGCAAGGGCGTAGAGCCTGCTCTTCAGTTGAGACGTTGCAGTCTCAAAATCGATACAGAAATCCCTCTGAATCAGTCCCCCTATTTTTTTCTGATGAAGAGGGCCCTTTCGTTCCAAGGGCCCTCTTCATCCTTGTTTTTTACACTTGTTTTTATTTTAATCCATAAAATGAGGTAAATTTCTTAAGAGTTATAAATTAAAAAAAACTCGACAAGAGGGAGCTTACGGAACATTTCCTTTCAAGGGAGGGGGGTAGTACACCTTCCCCCACTCCCCTTCAATTCGAGAGTCATCAACGTTAGCCAACTGGTTAACAATTTTAGGCGACTTCAAAGAAGTCATAAGCTTCTTATCTACTGAAGACTGTTTTAGGTATATCCGTACTGTTTTTAGAAAGATATTTATTTGTTTATTTATACTTCCTGCAAATACATTGCATAAGGCGGACTTAATTCCATAGGCATTTTCTTCCAGTCAACCTTGGGGTGATGCAGAGATTTGTGTGTGACAGGTGTATAATGAGATAAATTATTTAAATTGTAGTCGGTTGCAAGATGTTATACTACACAGATTTACGGGGATACATATATAGATGCAAATATCATTTATACGTACTATATAATACTATAAATATAAAAAAAAAACATAAACATACATCCATACATATATGCCTGCATTGATGAACACACGAGGGGTTATTTTGATGACTCCGTCAACAAGTCTCCATAGAGCTTGCGTACTCTGATCTTAAAGATTGTTCGGTTGGTGGATGTCCTGATCTCTAGGGGAAGGGCGTTCCAAAGATTTACCGCTTGGACAGTGAAGGAAGAATGTACGATAAGGGAGCTATGTGAAGGACAAAGAAGGAGGAAATTATCAGCGGAGCGAAGGCTTCTGTCATGGTTGGAGCAGAGATATTGCAGGTGGGATGTTAAGTAAGTAGGTGAGATAGGTGTGTGGAGAAGGGATTGCAACATAGTCAGCGCCCGCAAACTGCGGCGCTGTCTTATAGGTAGCCATGACAATTGCCTGCGATAAGCGGATACATGATCGTACTTTCGCAGGTTGAATATGAACCGAATGCAGTTGTTAAGAAGTCGGTCTAATTTATTGAGTAGATCTGCATTCAGGTCGAGGTAACACACATCACCATAGTCGATAATTGGGAAAATTAAGGTCTGCACTAGCATCGTTTTTGTTTTCACTGGGAGTAAATTTTTCAGGCGATAAAGTCCCCTCAAAATATTCGTTATCTTCTGACTGACGCTAGTTACCTGCGTTTGCCAATTTAGGGTTGGGTCTATGTGCAGACCGAGATCCTTGACTGATTGGCTAATGGGCAACACAGTTTCATCAAAAATAATATTTGCGATAGCGTCAGTATCAATTCTACCCGTCATTCTAGGACTCCCTATAAAGATTGCCTGACATTTGGCTGGGTTCACGGTTAAACCAAATCTGCTGGACCAGTTTTTTATGGTGTCTAGGTCGCGGTTAATTTTGTTTATCGCTTCGTCTATATTTTCTACTCTCGCATGTGAGTAGATCTGTAAGTCGTTTGCATACAGGTGATACGAACACTGAAGTTCATAAGTTATGAAGTCGATGAATAGTGAAAAGAGAAGTGGAGAAAGAATACCGCCTTGTGGAACACCAGAGTCAAGGTCGGCCCATAGCGATGTAGATTCATCAGTTCGGACAGACTGCTGGTGTCCTCGAAGGTAGGACGAGAACCATTCCAGTGCATCATCGGAAATCATGAAATGGGAAAGGATTGTAAGTAGTATATCGTGATTCACGGTATTGAAGGCATTTGAGAAATCAATTAATGCGAGTACAGTTATCTGGCCATCTTCCATCGCAGCCTTTATATCAAGTGTCACCTTGAGCAGTGCTGTACCTGTACTATGTCCTGGTCGAAATCCTGACTGATACTGGTTAAGCAAGTTGTTCTGGTAAATAAAGTGAGATAGTTGCTTATGTACACAGGCTTCAAGGACTTTGGAGAGGAAAGGGAGGATTGATATTGGGCGAAAATGAGTAGGAAGGGAGGGGTAAGGTACCTTAGCCAATGGACGTACATAAGCCTTGCGCCATAAGGAGGGGAAAACATTGGAATCTAAGGAATAGTTGATAATATGAGTGATAGCGGGTAAAAGCTGTTCTAGGATAGTGGT